ATAATATATATTATTAATATATTTAATTATTTCTACTAAACATAACGTTTTATGTCAAACTTATTAAATTTTAGCAATTTTTAATGAGTGTCTCACAACTGGAGACATTTTTTTTTTGAAAAAAGCGATGTGCTCGGAAAATGTATCGTAAATTTTTTTGAGTTCAACGAAACACTATACTTTCTTTTAATAAAAGTTGCTTATTTCTGTTACCTTTCGAACAGTGTATTTTATATACAATTTTGTTTACCCGTTTAAAATTTACGGGTCAAAAATAAAATCCGTCTCACAACTGGAGACTCTCCCCTATATTTTTTACCAAAGAGTCGAGACTATTAAATAAGTAAAGTATTTTCCAAGAGCCCAAAAATAATGAAGCTAAATTCCATAAAAGAGAGGAAAAAATGTTGAATTTTAAGAAATTCGGATTTTTGAATTTTTGATAATTTTAGATTTTTTACCAAAGATTCGAGACTATTTAATAAGTAAAGTGTTTTCCAAGAGCTAAAAAATAATGAAGCTAAATATTATCAAAGAGAAGAAATACTGTTGAATTTTAAAAAAATCGGTTTTTCGAATTTATGATAAATTTTGATAATTTTAGAATTTTTACCAAAGGGTGGAGACTATATGGAGACTATGTCAGGTTGCACCGTTTGCGTAGTACAGTAGGAATGAACGTGAGGAACAAAAATATTAAATGCCAATTACTCTTATTCAGGATTCCTACAGAAATCCGAATTTAAAATTCCATACCTTTTCCATGATTTCCAGGTCAAATTTTTACGAAATTCCAATAGAATTTTAAATCTAATTTCAATATTTTTGGGCTCTTTAAAAACACTTTACTTATTTAATGGTCTCCACCCTTTGGTAAAAATTCTAAAATTATCAAAATTTATCAAAAATTCGAAAAACCAATTTTTTTAAAATTCAACAGTTTTTTTCTCTTTGATAGTATTTAGCTTCATTATTTTTGGGCTCTTTGAAAACACTTTACTTATTAAATAGTCTTGAATCTTTGGTAAAAAATCTAAAATTATCAATAATTCAAAAAACCGAATTTTTTAAAATTCAACATTTTTTCCTCTCTTTTATGGGATTCAGCTTCATTATTTTTGGGCTCTTGGAAAATACTTTAGGGAAAAGTGCGGATAGATGCCCCCTTTCTCAGATCTCCAATATGAAAGAAACTATATTTATGGATTATTAGTTTTTTTTATACCTATTGGCCATAACAATTTAACTGTAAAGTACCAGCTCGCTGGCACCCCGGGGTTATTAGTTATAATAATGTAAAAATTTCAGATTGCTGAAAATGTCCAAAAATTTTCAAACTGCTGGACGAAATTCCTCATTACAAAAATCGAGGATATTTAACATGTAAGAAAATATTTTCAATTATTTAATTGTTTCAATTTAATCAGAGAAACATATTAGATCGACGTTTTCCATTTTTTATAATAATAGTTGTAATAAATGATAATAACTTACCGCGGGGGGCGTCTTACCCACCCAGGTGGGATATATGGCCAAATACAGACCTTTTGAATTTTCGTTCTGATTAATTTATTATTTATTGTAGGTATTTGGTCCTTACATAAGTTAATGATAAATAGTAATAGTGTGTAAAAATCGAATAGTCAATTAAAAATATTAATATTTGTTGAATTTAGATGTAATTTTCGAATGGGGGGGCATCTATCCGCACTTTACCCTACTTATTAAATAGTCTCGACCCTTTGGTAAAAAATCGAAAATTATCAAAAATTTAGCTTCATTATTTTTGGGCTCTTGGAAAATACTTTACTTATTTAATAGCCTCGACTCTTTGGTAAAAAATCTAAAATTATATAAAATTATCAAAAATCCGAAAAATCGAATTTCTTAAAATTCAATATTTTTTCTTCTCTTTTATGCCATTTAGCTTTGTTATTATTTGAATTTCTATTCAAGAGAAAAAATAGAAAACAGAAAAAATTTAGAAACTTTTAAAAGTTCCAGGCCTTTTCCATTATTTCCCTGATTTCCAGAAGCCTTTTAAAAATTCCATACCATTTCCATGATTTCCAGATTCTGTAGGAACCCTGTTATTGTTTACTATTATATTTATTATTTTTTATTTATTTATTATTGTTATTATATCTATTATTATTTATTATTATACTTACTTTTTAAAAATATTATTATGGAAAATTATTAAAACAATAAAAGGAAAATTTTTTATGAAAAAATTATTAAACAAATAAAATTTCTAAACAAAAAAGAGTAAATAATAAAAAATTATGAAATGTATAATTTTTTTTAGAAATAAACTATAGTTGATAAATAATAAAAAAAAAATTATCCATTAAAATTTATTTTTTCTGAATGTGTCAATATTATTCCCAGTGTATTAATTTTCAAATTGTCTATAAAAAAAGTTAATCTTGGTATTTGAAATAATTTTGTTTAAAAAAATTTGTATAACTAATATAATTTAAAAAATTATACATTTCATAATTTTTTATTATTTACTTTTTTTTGTTTAGTAATTTTATTTGTTTAATAATTTTTTCATAAAAAATTTCCCTTTATTGTTTTAATAATTTTCCATAATAATATTTTTAAAAAGTAAGTATAATAATAAATAATAATAGATATAATAACAATAATAAATAAATAAACAAATAATAAATATAATAGTAAACAATAAGAGTAATTGACATTTAATATTTTTGTTCCTCACGTTCATTCCTACTGTACCACGCAAACGGAGCAACCTGTTATGGTCGGCCATGTCCAACTTCTCATATAGAGCTATCAGTTTAATATGTTTCGTAAAACGCGGATTGATATTTACGCCCATAGAAACATCTAATCGTCATAAGAAAACTTGTTTTATATTCTCTATTAAATATTATTTTTCCCTAAATCGCCCTTTTTTTCATTTTCTGTCTGAATTTTTAAAAATTAATTATCAAAGTAAAAAATTACACCAAAAGAGGGGAAGTTTTCGACTTTGATAATTAATTTTGAAAAATTCAGATAGAAAATGAAAAAAAGGGCGATTTAAGGAAAAATAATATTTAATAGAGAATATAATTCAAACTTACTTACGTCGATTAGATGTTTCTAGGAGCGTAAATATGAATCCGCGTTTTACAAAACAAAGCAACAGCTCGATGTAGGCCTTTGCCGACCATAACAGGTTGCACCATTTTCGTGTTATTGACATTTAATATTTTTGTTCCTCACGTTCATTTCTACTGTACTACGCAAACGGTGCAACCTGATATAGTCGGCCATGGCCAACCTCCCATATTGAGCTGTCAGTTTGCTATGTTTTGGAAAACGCGGATTGATATTCACGCCCATAGAAACATCTAATCGTCATAAGAAAACTTGTTGAATATTCTCTATTAAATATTATTTTTCCCTAAATCGCCCTTTTTTTCATTTTCAATCTGGATTTTTTTTAATTAATTATCAAAGTCAAAAAATTTCACCAAGAGGGACGAAAAGAGGGGAAAAGAGTGGAAGTTGAGGAGAAATCGCTCGCTACGCCTATGCGTACTTTTAAATATTTCCCACCGTGCAGCGTCCTTAAATATCAACGATTTGTCCCTCCAGATGTTTAGTCCAATACTCCAGTTTTCTCAGTGTATGTATAACGAAAATATTTTCTGTAATTACTCTGTAAGTTTAGTTATACCTATTGTTTGAAAAAAATAATATTTTTTATTTTACCAGTTGTACAAACTAACAGCATCTCCGATTGTACAATAAAACAATCTTAAAAAAAATTTGGGTCAAAATGATACACACCCAGATGTATGTATTACATAATATGTAACGTACAATATAATGTTAATTTGTAAAAAATTTAAATTAACCGATGCGAAATTTATTGAAATACATTTAACTTCATTTCTAATACACCTAATGACTAATTTCCTTTCTAAAAAAATGCAAAGCAGAAAAAGCTCGAATTGAAAAAAGTCGAACTCGAAAAGTATCGAAGCAAGAAATAAGCATCCTTTCTAAAAAAATGCAAAGCAGAAAAAGCTCGAATTGAAAAAAGTCGAACTCGAAAAGTATCGAAGCAAGAAATAAGCATAGTCCTTTCTAAAAAAATGCAAAGCAGAAAAAGCTCGAATTGAAAAAAGTCGAACTCGAAAAGTATCGAAGCAAGAAATAAGCATAGAGAATAAAAAAGAACATAGAAAGCGCACCTCACACTCTAAATGTAAACGAAATAGATGGAGCTGTCTTGGGTTTGTCTGGTTTATCTCAAGAAAAATTTATAAATAAAATTATTTTATTTATAAATAAAATGAAATCATAAATAAAAAAAAGAAGGATATCAAATAATAAAAATATAAAAATTAAAAATATAAAATAGAATTTAATTAAAAATTAAAAATTAAAATAGAATTAAGAATAAAGCAGCAACAAAGTCGACCGCCAAGCGGTCGACGAGGGCTCTTGTTTTATATAAAAAATTATTAAATTAAAAAACTGAACATTAGTAAAAATTGAACAAAAATGAAGAAGGAATAGAAACAACGAAGACGGCCGAAGGCCGTCTGAGGCGCTAGTTTCTTAAAAATCATTAACAAATTTTTTTTATGTTGTCTTCGGTAGCGGGCCCCTGGAGGGTACGGGCCACGCGCTTCATGGTTGTTCCGGCTCTGATTTTCCTTAGTAAAATAAAAAAAAAATTTTTGCTAAGAAGATACAGTTTCAGGGCATATATGATTAATTGTGTTATATAATGCCGTTTAGGAATTACAGTCGTTCAAAAGATGAGTGGCCACCTTGGGGCCCCTTACCCTATATATTTTGCGTGTTTATGATGTTTTTTACTTTAATAGTTGTTATTTTGTTAACAGTTTCTAATATTGAGAATATTTATGTAAATGGGATAAATATAATAAAAGTTATTACAATTTTTTGTATATGAAATTAAAACTAATACTTATTTAACAACAGAAGTACATTTCATTAAAAATTCTCACCTGTCCATGTTGTTTTGAAGCTCAACCTTTATTGGACTATTGCCTGTCGATTGGTTTTTATTGTACTCATTTTTTGGTATATCTGAAAGCAGAAAAAGTTTACAATAATTGTATTTTACAAGAAATTGTACGAAATTCAAAGGCTTCTGCTGTCAATAAAATATTATTTAAGAAAAGCGGACGAAATTGTCAAAAACAATAAAGTAAACAATAAAAAAAATAAAATAAATAATAAAATTAAACAACAAAATTTTGATAATGACAATAATAATTCTTGAACTTATTATACGAGAAATCCCAGGCGCGAAGTGACGCCGAGTTCAGGCTTTATAAAGATTGGCCGAGCATTGGTCAACATTGATTGAGCATGAGTGAATCAGCGAGAGCAGGAATGATCGAAGCTTTAATGTAACACCGATTCCAGACTGCAGCGCGAGCCTTGATTCAGCATTGGCACCAATGCTCAATCAATGCTGCGGACGCCTAATGCAGGACTGAAACAAGACTGCTTCCACTGTTCCCAAATTTACTCGTTTCTCACGTTTATTCAATATAATGTGAATATATGAATTGCTAATAATAATAATAAATATTATAGTTATTATTTCAATTCATGTATGTGTGTATATATTTAATGATAATAAGTTACTATTATAATAATTATATTATTTCCATATAAATAATAATATATTACTAACAATAAATATCATTTGAATAGTAATTTTAAAAAAATAATTTTAGTAAAAAAAACAATTTTTCCGTTAACTGTTACATTTTTTTTCTTGATCTTTTAACAGGCTTTTAAGATTATTTATAAACATGTTCACTGTTTTTATTCACAACACAACACACAATTTTATATAACGCTTAAAACAAAGAATGAAAAATATTCGCTCGCATGTGGGATCGAAACTCACGCACCCCGCCCCTAACGCATACCGGAAGTTCTCAACGCACGCATTTATACCGCTCGGCCACAGAAGGCTGGAAGGCTTCTCGCCTAATCTACTATATCAATGCCAGTGCCGTCACTCAACATGGGATACCAATGTTCGTCCCATACTCGTTTCAAGTCTCAGTAATCTTGTTACAATATTCAGTTCCTTTATTGCCGTGTGCACTGTACAATATTAAATATAAATATTTATAAATTATTTAATATTAAAATATTTTTTCGGATAATTTTATAAGTTAAATTATATATTATTTTTTTTCGCACAGTGTCAAATTATTATTTTTAAATTCAAGAGTTTCGTTTATCTGAAAAATTTTCAGTGAAAAAAATGTTCATTAGGTAGTAATAAATATTTATGCCTAGTAGTTTTACACTAGGATTAACTGTTTACTGAATATTATCAAAAATATATTTTTCGTCAAACGCGCGCGACTAAACACAAATAACCTTGAGACGTTGCGATTGTCGTGCTCCCACCATCCCATCTACTCAATGCACTCCCCGCCTGTGACGTCATGAGGGGAAAGCATTGAGTAGATGGGATGGTGGGAACACGACAATCGCAATGTCGCGCTGTAAAGTCTCAAGGTTATTTGTGTTTAGTCGCGCGCGTTTGACGAAAAATATATTTTTGATAATATTCAGTAAACAGTTAAACCTAGTGTAAAACTACTAGGCATAAATATTTATTACTACCTAATGAACATTTTTTTCACTAAAAATTTTTCAGATAAACGAAACTCTTGAACTTTGAAAATAATAATTTGACATTGCAAGAGAAAAAATAATATGTGACGTTCCGCGACAAAAGGGACCTTAGGTCCGAAAAAATTAATTTCGAGTTATGTATATTATTCAATATTTATTGAGTTGCTCTTTCACATACAAGCATCAAAAATAATTTTTACTTATAGATTTTTTTGTTATTAATGTTTAAAAATGAGCTTGTTGAGTGTTTACACGTGGTTGTTCAGAAAAGCAGCCCCTCTACTTTTCAATACAACTGCACTGGTCATCTACATACAATTTGTGCGCTTCGTGTAACGCGGACAAATATCAATGTGTAGTGAGTAGTGGGGCTGAATTCTAGTAGAACGTCTCCACCAATCAGAGACGCACTACTTCAATCGCCTTTCCTGCAGAATTCACTATTGGGAGCTAAGCTCCCTTTTGTCGCGGACAGTCACATATATAATTTTATTTTATTTATATGAATCTTATATAATTAATATAAATTAAACACTAAATAAATATTAATATTTATTTACCAATTGATATCTTAATAATAATAATAATAATACTTATTATATTATTTAATAATAATTAATAATAAGAATAATAATTTTTAAATAGTATAAAAAATTACTAAAAAATATCAGAAACAATATTTTAATATTAAATAATTTATAAATATTTATATCTACACGGAAAAAAATTAATCTCTAAATTAGAGATTAAATCTGAGATTTAGGCATAACCTATCACTGGAATCGGACGTAAGATGTAAGTAGATCACTAAAACTGAAATTTGGTATTACAGTCAGTCCCCGCTACCTGCGCAACTCGCAACCTGCACATCCCCGAAACCTGACGCTCTGACGACATAGACCAAACTCGCTATGTGACTATACTCACTTTCACTTTTACCGCGTGCTCAGTGCCGAAAAGTGTCTCAGTACATAAGTTTCTCTTGACGACTAAAAATTTTTGTTGTGCCACAAATTAATTTAAAAAATTGAATTTTTTCTTTTTTCTTATCAATTACTCATTTGATACATATATTTTACATAAAGTATATTAAAATTAATAAATTTATCTAAACATTTCTGTATTTATAAAATATACACGCACTGAGAAAAAAGAATATTCATTTTAAAAATAAAGACCAGTTTAAGTGATTTTGTTTAATTAAACAGAGTTTGTAAGTTTCATTTTAATATATATGAAAAATATCTATCACTCTTATTTAAAAATATTATTTGCTTGTATATGATTTGTTTCATTTAAAAAAAAATTATATTTGAATTAAACATAAAACACGTTTAAGTACATAACAGTTTTGTACCAAACAAAATTTATGTTTAAATGAATTATATTTTATCAACTAAAAAATATGTTTGAATTAAACTTAAATATGTTTGACTGTATAACAAAGATAGTGAATTAAACATATTATGTTTCAAATTAGAAGTATCGTTTTCTCAGTGCGGGCGCCTACAATTGTATGCGATATAAGGGTGTATACATCCCTGAAAGTGGTGGGAAATGAATGGTGGGAGAGCGGCTGACTGGACTGTCAGGTAGCGAGTTCGGGGGAAAGGAAAAATTCTGAAATATGTGCAGGTTGCGGGGACTCACTGTATATCTAATCCGAATATTAGTATTGTGAAGAACACGTATTTCTTATGCCTAAAAATGATATTAGGAATCTCAAATTTTATGACATGTGGAACATATGTTCTAAACTATCAACTTACTTAAATAAATTCAAATCTAATATATTATTTGAATAAACAATATTAAAAATTTTAGTCGTATATTTATATAATTTTTATTTTTGTAATAACTCGATGTAATAAGAATTTATAATTTATCACAATTTAGAGTGAGAATTATTCACAAAATATTTATATTGTTTTCTCTGTATGAACTATACATTGACAAGTATAAAAAAGTAGTTGGATATTTTTAAAACACAATACGAATTTTATATTTTTATTTCATTTTTTTGTTTTAACGGCGTTGGAAGGTCTGTAAAATTTGTAGGTTACAATTATCGCCCGACAAAATACGACACTGACTGATTTAAATGACGTGAAATAAGTAAATAAACATTTTTCAACCACTTTTTCTCTACATTTTACAACCGCTTGACAACCGCGTTTCTGCATGAATTTAAACAATCTTTTGAATTTAGGTTATTAAGAAGATTCTTACCCATTGTATGTTGGCCTATTTTGTAAAAAGTGTCTGTGTTTAGAGAAAAAGTGGTTGAAAAATGTTTATTTACCTATTTCACGTCATTTAAATCAGTCAGTGCCGTATTTTGTCGGGCGACAATTGTAACCTTAAAATTTCACAGACCTTCGCTTTTATTTGGATATTTGAAAATAAAATTAATACTTAATTAATTAAAATGGTTTAAATCTTTTTTGTCACTGATTAACTTAAAACACAATGTACCGAATTCATATAAAAAAAGTTGTGAAATAAACAAATCTCTAAATCAGAGATGTGAATTTATGGCGTTTTCTGGTATAAAGTTTGACAGAATCAAACACAACTTATCACCCCAGTAAAAAAAGAAGTATTGAGTGGAGCGTTTAGGAATTGAGTGAAGTTCTGAGCCAATACGGATTCGAGTAAAAACCGTATTGGGACGTTTGACTCAATCTTTTTTTCATCCGCCGAATACGGTCTTATTTTAGCATTAAAATTAAAATCACATGAGCAGAGTACACATTATAAATTGAAATCACAATTGTTATGGAATGTAAAAATGCCGATTTAGATAAGAAACAGTGAATATTTTTTATTTTTTTGTTAAAAATTGGTAAAAGCAAAGTTTGATAAGCGCAACTGAATTTACCATGTGAATAAATGAAGTGGTAAGTTTAAATGGACTAAAAGAAATCTACTGTTACCGACAGAAAGTTCCTAGAGAATTGTAAAACAATGAAATTTCATTGTTTTGTTCAAGATTTGTTGAATTTACCACAATTCTCTAGGAACTTTCTGTCGGTAACAGTAGATTTCTTTCAGTCCATTTAAACTTACCAATTCATTTATTCACATGGTAAATTCAGTCGCGCTTGTCAAACTTTGCTTTTACCAATTTTTAACAAATATTCACTGTTTCTCATCGAAATCGGCATTTTTACATTCGAGGACAATTGTGCTTTCAATTTATAATGTGTACTCTGCTCATGTAATTTTAATTTTAATGCTAAATTAAGACCGTATTCGGCGGATGAAAAAAAGATTGAGTCAAACGTCCCAGTACGGTTTTTACTCGAATCCGTATTGGCTCAGAGCTTCACTCAATTCCTAAACGCTCCACTCAATATTTCTTTTTTTACTGGGACAGTAATTGTGACTATAATGTTTAATTTAGATACACTTATATT